TTTGATCCGATCACAACCAGACAGTTATCGTCGGTTGCCACTGACTGTTAGGTTGCTACCGCCACTTAGGATGCATTCCCTTGGGCCAGGGCTACCAGGGTTAGACCCAAAAGGGACCTCACACTGATCAATACTCTACTGTGGCTGTCAACATGTTGATTGACAGATTGAGAGATAGTAGAAAGTAGTAGTGAGGGATGAAATACTTTGAGTCCTTCAAAGTGCCATCAGCGATAAACATTAGCCGGGGTCAATTAGTCAATGATGGTTTGGTCAGTGAAAAATTGTTTTTTAACTTATGTATGGTACCTCTTATCACTCAAAAGTGATCAATATTGTTGGGTTGACCTTTATTTTTCAAATTGTCAATCGCAACACGGTAAAAACATTAATGTTGTGCACTGTGTCGCCATTGTTTTACTTCAGCTCAAAACTAACTGTCCGTGTGGTTGTATCTGTCATTCCACAAGGTTGCAATTGATAATGGCAGTAGCAGCCTTGTAGATCATTCAGTCAAAAAGTTATGTTGCAGTAGTAGTAGCATTCACCAGCATTAACGGCAACACTTATCAATGTTATCGTTGTTGATATCAATCTGTTGATCAGTTGTTGAAACAAAGAAGACAAACACTGATCAACTACTGATCTGATTGTGAGCGTTTAGTTTACAACAAAATATCAATTATTTGTTACACTTGGTTAAGTTTAATTTTTTCAGCTAAAAACGTATCAGAAAATATTTGGTCAAAATTGTCGGCACGACGGTTTAACTGTTGCGTAGTTTGCTAAGATAGCTTATCATAGCAATCACTAGTATTTTTGGTTGAAACAAACTGCAATGAGGTTGGTGCATAGTACAATCTAAACGCTGATTGTCAGACATCAGATTGGCCAGATTAAACAAGTTGAAACTGAACGAATGAAGAAAAAACATCTGATAACAAAATGTGCAAGTCAGTGCAATCGGTCAGACAAAAACTATTTGGTGCAAAATCATATTTTAAATAAGAACCTTACAAAATCGATTGAACTGAAACAAAAGCATTATATAACAAGATTGTTGCTTTACTTTGCTTTTGTAAAAACAAAAATGTCATTTTATATTAGATAATTTTGTTTACTATTTTAGGTGAAACCCCATGTTTCTGAACTTGGTAGTTTTCAAAGAATTGTGTAATTTAGAAAGTAAAAAACTCAGTGAAAAGAAATAAAAAATCATTGTTTAGGGGTAAACTGATACATTTGCAAACAATTAACAAGTTTAACAATTTTTTACATTTAATTTTTTACAGGCAATTAAAATAGTCATTTTTTACATCCATCGCGCACGTTGCTCAAAGATCTGCCCTTGCAAGGAGCGTGCTAAAAACATCGCAAACAGCTGATTTGAAACATGAATGACGGCAGAAAGGAGCAATGATTTGAATTCGATGACAATGAGTGACGCGGAAATGTCACAGATAAGGTGATATATTTGATGGGATCAGGCCAAAACGTGTCCAGAGTCAGCCATGTCAGTATGCCAGATAAAGTGGGGTAAAAGAAGAAAAAGAGAAAAGTGTATTATAGCGCATTGAGCTGATTTTAGGAAATCACTCGGAAGTGCGTTGACATATGCTCATAATAGTTTTGTCAGTTTTGACATCATCATCCCCCCTTTCAGTGCCCATCAATCAGTAATCACTCACCTGGGCCAGTGCCGAGCCAAGACATATGCCGGCGACGAGGTTCATGTTTCTTTCCACCAGTTCTGAAATCGCCTCCAAACAGCCACGCGTAAACACGTACTTGTTCACTTCGACAACCGAACTAAGGTTTTGCATGTTGTATCCGCACATAATGTTTATGAGGCCGGTCTGCAGATGGTTGAAAAACAAAAATAGTTTAACTGTTGTTTTACTTAAGCGAACATGTTGATTACTTACATTGAAATCTCTGCAACAAGAAAAAGGCACGGCACACCGTTCTGAACTTGGATTGGAAACACTGCAATTAAAGTAGATGTTCATTGACCAGTCTTTAAAACCGTTGTCCGTCACTCCGCAACATTTGAACTCCATTTGAATGATGTCGATTAGATTTTGCAAGTTAGTATCCTCTCGATAAAGCGTGATCAGGTCTTTGGATAGGCGATCTTTGACAAAATGCGATAACGTTGTGGGGAAAACAAACGCTAGACTAGACAGGATCACTTCGGCAATGAATAACAGCAATAACATTAATGAATACTAAAAATATAAACTTTTGTCAATTTTTTGCGTTGAAAAACGATCAATTATCGCTTACCAGTTTAATAAGTAGAAGGTTTTCTCTCAAAGCACCCAAACATCCGGTAAAGCTCATTGAAAAGACAATGAAACCACCAAAGACCAGTCCCAGTGAGATGTGCAGAAGAAAGTCAAAAATGTTGCGAAATTTAAGTAGGTTGTAGTCGTACTCCTCCAACAGTGACCAACCACCGAGACCCATCAACGCGGCGCCAATTATCTAAAAACACAAATGGTACAAAAACAAAACAATAAACAATAAACAATAAACAACAAAAAACAACAGTACAAACTTACCCAAAAGAGAAGATTAAAGAAGAAGAGGGAATACTTGACACAGGGCGATATGAAGGAGTACTCGTCGTGGTGGCAGGAGTGCAGTGAGCTGCAGGCGGAGTGGCTTCCAAAAGAGTGCCTCTCCAGTGGCAGTGCTCCTGGTGTTCCGCTGGTACTTGGCTTGATGCGGTGGTGGTGATAATGGTGATGATGATGATGGCGATGGGACTGCTGCTGCTGCTGTTCACCGTCTGACTGGGTGACAGCTGACAGTCGACTGCTGTGCTGGGACGGTCCTCGACCACTGTTTTGTTGTTGAACTGACTGACCAGATGGTAGTCCATTTGGCAGGTACAGTCGAGGGTTTTGAGCAGAGTTTGCAGAAGAGGAGGACGATGAGGAGGCTCTTGCTGAAAGACCACTGAATCCGGTAATTGCTGAGGATCTGGCCGCTGCTGCTGCAGCAGCAGACGTCGCTGTTCCATTACCAGAACGTACGCTGGATCGCTTCAAGTTTGGACGACCAATCTGGTAGGGCATGCCAGAGCTGAGCACCTGAAGTGGTCGATGGCCACTTGGCACATAGGAGGAGGAGGAGGAAATGACTCCAACTGAAGACAGTGCACTGGCGGGTGCACTGCCATTGCTCGGGTTTATGGAGATCACCATTTCGGGTTGTGGGTGGGACAACAGTTGGGGCTGAGACAGAATATCACCAGTGACAGGAGAAGTCACGATTTAAATTTGATAAAAACATCAGCTTTCTTGAACAAGGGTATTGGGCGGTAGGTTTCATTGGCGGTGGGAATTTTTGGCAAAAATTAGATTAGGCAGTTGGCTCTGAATGAAGATCAATTTGAGCTTTTTCTAAAACAAAAACATTGTATTGCAGATAGTATTATGCTGCTTATACTGTTCCTAACTGGCTAAAATTGCATTTCACTACACTAGAAACTGGCCATCTTCATTCTGCGGGCTACCTCTTCTGGTAAGCACAACAGTGCTTCTGTGCTTTCTGTCGGCTGTCTAAACGGCAATTTGGCAGTGAGTTAGCAGAAGTAACAGTCCCTACGATGTTGTTGCAGTAAGCTAAAAAACGCCATTAAAAAGAAGTAGATAGACAGACAGAGAGAAGGAAGGCACAGTGAGCAGTGAGTTCAGTCATTCTGGTTCAATTGCCTGATGAGCAGATGAGTACAGTGATGGTAATGGTGGTGGCACAAATACACACTCACAGACACACACTGTTTCACGTACACTGCCAACTGAGCACACACACATTTGGGGCACTGTCAGTGTGTGGCAGGCTTACGGGCGACTCCATTTCCTCCAGCAGAGGGTCGCCCGCATCACAGCACAACTCTGGCCACTTATTTCAGGCGCTGGATCGGTTTCTCTCACTACAGTAGCGTTGATGATGCTGATGCTGCTGCTCTGGTTTTCTACCGCTGTAGTTCCATTACGCAGACCACTGAATCAGGTCACCGCTGTTGATGCCTTTTATTCTCTTTTGGGGAATATTTTTTTATTTTTCATGATAAATGTTTTGGCAAAAACTAGAACTTAGTTATAATAAGTGCTGTTTTATTGTCGTAAATTTAAAAACAGTATACAAACAGAAAATAAAAGCAAAATTTTGTTTGCATTTACATTTTAGAGTTTTAGTATCATGGAGTTTTTTAAACGCACCAACGTTTTAAAAAATCATTTTTATCATTTATATTTGATTTTAGCAGAATACATTTGTTTATAAAATATTGTTTCATAAATAGCAACATTGCTGTTTCATGAGTAAAAAGTTCGGGTAATTGAAATGGAAACCTTGGTATTTGTTTCAATTCATCGTTATACCGTTTCAACAACTCTACCGGACTTTTAAAATTTGTTAAATTTAAATGTTTTAAACGAAAATTAATGAAACGTTTTTCCAAAAATTTCTCAATAATCAGCAGCTGTAGATGGTAGTATATGAGGAGCTTTTTAAAGTTGTCTTGAATACTCTCAAAATTAAATTTTTTGTAAAGTTGGCAACAATCTCCTGGCGCCGTCTATTTAACTCCGTCGGAGATAGTTTTTTGGCGCTGAACAAGCATCAAAAGCACACGCACACAGACAGTGTGTTTCAGTGAGCAGTCAGCTGTGTGAGTCAGCAAACTCATATACTCACTGCAATGCAAACAGTGGTCTGTTCTAATGCACTCACAGTTAACCGTTGCATCCTTATTTTTGTAACATTTTTCAATTTACGCCCGCAAGTTATCTTTGGTGCTGTTCCTATTGTTTGACAAGAACTTTCTTTTTATTGTTTTTTTCTACTCATACATAGTTTTAACAATTTATTCACTTTGAATAATTTGTTTTTAATGAATGAAACATGAAAACAATCATTTAATTGCTTGAATAAATTGTGATTGCCATTTTGATAAACTTGAAAACCTTAACAGTTTTTTTGTTGACATGGTTAAATTATTTTATTTAGGAGTGTTGTTTAAACGTGATGACGACACTGTCAGGTGTCTTAAATCTGCTCAAAATTTGCAATCATTTGGGTTTTTTCAACGTAACAGGTATTGTTAACGCTTTAGTTTATTTATTTTTGTGGGATTTTAATTTTAACTAGAAACCATTTTCAGTGTGAGTGAATTTATGAAATTTACAAGTAAAGTGCTTGTAGAAAAAAGTGACTTGGCAACTCGTTCCTCTGTCAAACAACAAGGTAAGTCTATTGTGTTGTTTTAACATCACTGTTTAAAATATGTTGATTTTTTGGCAATTTTTGGTTTTAGATTACGTATGTCACGTGTACATTCGAGGAGACCGTTTAGCTGGAATCATCATATCGGATCAAGAATATCCTCATCGAGTGGCGCACACACTATTGATGCGAGTTTTAGATGAATTTACCGAATCAGTACCCAAGAGTCAATGGCCTGGCTTAATTGAATAGTATGATTGTTCAAATAACTTTTGAATCTGATATTAAATTGTTTTTTTATTATAACAGCCAAGCACCATACGCAAACTTAGATATGTACCTGACTAAGTTTCAAAATCCTAAAGAAGCTGATGCGATGACAAAAATTCAAAACGATCTTGATGAAACAAAAATTATTTTGCATAACACTATCACAAGTGTATTACAACGTGGCGAAAAGTTGGACAATCTAGTAGCTAAATCTGAAGATCTGTCAATGCAAAGTAAAGTATTTTACAAAACTGCTCGAAAAACAAATCAATGTTGTCAACTATATTGACAAGTACAGTTGTCAACTGTTTTGTTTATTTTTAAATTTTTTTCATTAATTTGTGTTTTCATTTATTGTACGTGATATATAATTAACTTATTTTTACTGTGACTATTCTTTTTATTAATAAATTAAAGTAGCGGCCACCAGGCCGCTGGTGACGTGGCTTTGCTCACGCGAAGTTCGAAACCGTTGTAAATGCTTTATAAGCTGCTCCCTCTACCATTAAAAATAAACAAAAGATAAATAAAACTAATAAACGTCAAGTCAATTAAACAAACTTTCCTATTTGTCCTAATTATTTGAAGGTGTCAAACTTATCAAACCTAAATTGATCAACAGATATTTTTCGGTTATTAAAAAATGTACAGTTGGAGTGTTTTAAAAATATTGTTTCATTGCTTTGCTATTGATTTGATTGACTGAAAAAGTTGTAGGAGCTGTGACAGTGATGATAGTTTTTGTTGTTTTATATTCACTGGACACTCTGCTAGCTAATTCAGTTGCTCCGCTATTTTAGTCAACCTTCTCTCTATTGTCCAATATTTGTCTGTCAAAGGACAAAATGCTTTCATTTTTGTAAAACTTTGTTGATGGCACAAATGCTGCTGTTTTGTTGGGGAAAGTAGAGCATCAAACTAATGTGTTTGCAGCAACTGTTGCACTACTACTACTACTGTAACTACTATTAGCAAACAGCAGTAATCGTCAGTTAATTAATACACACTCACATCACTGCCATTGTCGCCGAATGGACCGGAGAAGTATTTGAACAAATGGTGTTCAATTTGGTTGCCTAGAAAAAGCAGACAGCAGACACAGTGACATGTGGTTTCACTAACTCTCACTCTTTGCACACTGCACACTGGTAACGTGTAAAACAAATGCCATTCAGAAATGACTGGCACATCACTACCAGTTTCAGTAGCATCAGATGAGCTTGTTGCTGTTTCTACTGTGAGAGGAAGACTGCCTTGACTGTCATGATTGGCCTTATTGACACAATTGGCCAAGGATGAGTGCGCCCGACATTATGTATTGCTAACCATGGTTTTCATTTTTTCACTGTCTCTCTCTCTCTCCTCTCACTTGGCTGACCTCACTAGTGTCACCTGGTCTGGATGTAGTTGTCAAGCGCACAAAATGCTGATTCTTCCCCATTCTTTCGTTTTCTCTCTCTTTTTATGCCTAAATACTGTTGATAAAATGCATAGTCTCTATAACTCTTTTCCTCATTACCTTTTCATCCTTCCTCTGGTGTTTATCTTTTACTTTTTTACTGAAACCCGATACCAGCAAAATTATGCAACTGACCATTTTCACTCGATCACTTTGCATTCTGCTCATTGTTGGGCCATTTTTCCTTACAGCAAATGGATTTTTCTTTGACAAATTAGAGCGTTTTAAAAAGTTTACATTGCCTGGTTATGCCTCTAGCCTTGGTTTCCCTTTTTCTGGAATGTCAAACGTGTGTATTTTTAAGTTTTTAAAATTTTTAGTTAAATTTTTTGTTGTTTTTAGCAGGGCGTCAGAGTGTGCATCAACTTTAATTCAAACCTCAACTACCCTCAAGGATATCAACAGGTCAGTTGCAGTTTATTTTAAAACTTAATACTGTTTAACCGTTGCAGCTGCAAATGACATTAATTTAAATTTTATCTGCATAATCTTTAGCAGAACACATGTTTCATTTGTGATCAACATCGTTTTAATCAAATAGTAAGTTTTTTACAATTTTTTTTGTATTTTTTAATAACTATTATAAAAAATACAAAATTGTTAATTAATTAAATTAACAATGTTTGTTAACAAAATTAAATTTTACAAAATTTTTTAAAAATTTAACTGATTACCATTTTTATTTTTTGTTAAAAAAATAAAAAAATTTTAGGCAACTTACTGCACTGGACAGGTAATTTTGAATAACATTAAAATTATTAAAATGTTAATTTTTTGTTTTTGTATAAAATTATACTTTTAAAACTATAATTTAACAGACGACCATTCCTTCAAACATAAACTACACACAAGCAAACTGCATCATGAATTCTTGCCAACCTGCATACGGCTCAGGTCCACGATTTCCAAGCAGTTTTTTGTCAAACAAATGAAACATTTTAAATTCATTTGTTTCCTAAAAACTTTATTCTTGTTTGTTAAATTGCACATGTTGAAAACTTTTTGTTGAAATTGATTCGTTGATAATGGTCTAAAACACTAAATTTTGACAAAGAAACACAGTTAAAAACATTGTCTTGTTTAAAAAACAACAATTTAATAAAAAAGTTTAAAATCAAACAAGATAACTGAACTAAATTGAAAATAACAAACAAAAAGTTTTAAAAAAACACTTAAGTTCTTTTGTTTTAAAAAATTTTTTAAATTTCTTAACGTTGTTTTGTTTTATTTAACGTTGTTATGTATCTTTAACTTTAATTATAAAACAGAAAAATGAAAAATAATAATACAAACAATAAAACTAAAAAAAACAATTATTGACTGCTTAAATAAAACAATAGTCAGCTAAATGACAGCACCATGAGGTCACGATTGTTGACTCTAACAGAGTACGCCCTTGACAACGATTATGATGCATGCCAGGGCTGTGACGAGTCGACAGATACAGAGTTTGGCAATTTTACAGGACGCAGAAAAAAATCTCCGTCAAGAATCTTCCATGTCCGGTCACATACGTTTCCCAACGCCAACAACCCGTTGGTGATTCACTTGGCTATGGATGAGGCTATACGATTTTTGTTTCTTTGGATGTCACAAAATCACTCGGGAATTGTTCTCAACAATCAAGGCCGCGGATGGAAAACGAAAAAACTGGATGCAGTGGCAAAGAAAATTGCTTTCCTTGCCCTTTTGGAGGACATCACGTCACGATACACGCCAACAACGGTGTTTTATTCAACTTGTCCCATGATTCACCGACCGAAAATAGAGGAATTTCTGATAGGAACCTGATAAACAAAGAGGCATCACCAAAACACCACTAAATCACCGGATTTTTCATCACCTTTATCAAAGTTTTAAAGCATAAAAGAGCTAGGTCTCAATGACTAAGCGTCTAATTGATTTTGCAAATTTTGTGCTGAGTAGCTACCACAGAAGGCCCCAGCTTCTAACTTGGGCACGTCCAGCAGAAATTTTTTTGGAAGAAACGGTTTAAAACCGTCATCTTTAAGAAACGTGAACGTGGGAAGCATTCCCCGCCGACCAGATTTTTTCTACGTCTCTTCTGCACAAGTTCACATTTGCGATTTCCTAGCTCAGGCTAGAAGTACAGCTCACCACTCACAAAGACCCCCTGTCTACTTGAAATACTGATCCGAGTACCAGTCATCTTTGTATCCCACCGCGTTCACTTTTTTCTTCAGCGTCTGCCGATTGGTCAGTAGCTCGTAAAGATTGTCCACGCTTTTCAGGTGTTGAACGGGATTCCAAGCATCGCTGTTGGTGGTGACGTAACTGATTAGCTCAGTCGGCAATTCCTGCATCCATCGGTTAAAGATGAGCTTGTCCGGGACGGAGATGCCAGAGATGCTGCTTGCGATGTTGGCCATCTTTGTGTACAGCTCGGGTAGTTTCTGGTCACCCAGTGTTAAGTTGGCCAAAAATTTGTTGATTCTGGCGTCGTCCGATTTAGTGTGCATGTCGATCAGCACCTGCTTGATATTGTTGTAGTCTTCCTCAGTGTAGGATGCCTTCCACGCAATATTTACAATTTTTGTTGTGGTTTCTGACGAGACGTATGTCAGAATTGCCAGGCATTTGGCACCTGGAGTGACGATGCCGTTATTGGTCATCAGCATTTCGAGTACGTTGAACCAGGCGGCAGGATTTGAAAGCATCCAGGCAGGCGATTCAGGTCTTTCACTTTAACGTGCGTAGCCATCTTTGGGAGAGGAATACTGGAACGGTTTTTTGCAAAGTAATTCTTTTTTTGGCTAATCTATCTGCGACTTTGTCCAAAGAAACCAGATAAGATGCTGCTTTTTCACAATTTTTTGGTGTTTGGTCCTTAGGTGTATCAGGGTGTGAAAAGTATGCAGCTATTGATAGAGTCCTCTCGTATCGCTTCTTTGTTCTCGGAGAAAAACCCTTACAGATGTCTGCAGCAATGCCTGTGTCGTCGTTTGTACGAGAAGCTGTATCCTTTTTTGCGGCTGCCGACGTTGAAGGTGGTTGTTGCATCGGGGTGGCAACGGTTTGCGCGTGATACTTCAGCGGCTGAATTTTTTTAAACTAGCTTATTATTTTACAGTGATTCAGTTGTTTTTTATTATTTGTCAAACAAACTTTTCTATCAGCTCTATCAGTTCTCTCTTTTTTTATTTTTTAACACTTTGTTTAAAAACTTTGTGTTCAAAAATTTAGTCAAAAACGCCTTTTGCAAGTAAGTTGCTGCCAGTCACTTTTTGTTTTTAAATCATTTTTTGCTGGCGGCGCCTTTGGTCATATGTACCGGGTAGTCAGTAAAAAAACATCGTCAAGTTAAAGCACAACGATGCGCCACAGCTAAAACTTTTTTCAAGTTGGAACACAACGATGCGCCGCAACGACAACCCTTCCTTAAGTTTGGGGTCTACAGTCAACTGTCCAAATCGTTTACTGTTTCAGTCGGCGAAGTGTGGAACGCCCTTTTTGTGGCAAGTCGCCTTTCATTCTCAAATTTTTTATTTTTGGTGGCGCTTTTGGTCACGTGTACCGGGTAGTCAGTAAAAAAACATCGTCAAGTTAAAGCACAACGATGCGCCACAGCTAAAACTTTTTTTAAGTTGGAACACAACGATGCGCCGCAACGACAACCCTTCTTTAAGTTTGGCGTCTACAGTCAACTGGCCAAATCGTTTACTGTCACAGTCGGCGAAGTGTGGAACGCCTTTTTTCTGGCCAGTCGCCTTTAATTCTCAAGTTTTTTTTTAATTTTTGATGGCGCCTTTGGTCATGTGTCTCGGAGAGTCAGTCAGAAGACATCATCAAGTTGAAACACAACAATGTGC